TGATATAGTGTCTACTATAGCAGCAGCTTACAAGTTTCTTAATATTGACATTTATTCAATTAATGAGAAGAGACTGACTCCATTACACTTAGCAGCAGCTAATGGTCACGTTAATACAGTCATGTCTCTCTTATCAGTGACTACTGGTACTACAAATCATGACGAGCTCCTTGGAGCAGTGGATGGTGATGGTTGTTCTTGTCTTCATTTAGCTTGTCAAAATGGTCACTATAGGATGGTACTGTATCTCTCTGAGGTGTATCCAGCTAATGTTTATAGTTTCAATAATAATGAGGAAGGATTGCTTCATGGAGCTGCTCAGAGTGGTAATAAGGATATAATTCAATTCCTAGTGGAATCACACGGTCTTGATCCAGAGTCACAGGATAAAGATGGAGTGACATGTCTACACATAATAGCAAAGCAAGGAGATAAAGAGATATACGAGTATCTTGTACCTCGTGTTAGGAATAATCCAACTCCTAAGAATAAAGCTGGTCGGTCTCCACTTCATTACGCTAGCAGACATTATGACATGTCAGTGTATCTGATTCAATCTTTTAATATTCATCCTGAAGACAAAGACAGTAATGGATTCACTGGTGTTCATGCTGCCTGTCAAGCTGGTAACATGCGACTGGTATTACATTACTTGAATAAACTAAACTGCAATTGTTATTTAGAAACACATGACTCTAAAGGTCTGTTGTATTTTGCATGCTTGAGCGGTCACTTGGAAATGGTTCATATTTTAATGGAAAAGTATCAGTTGAAACCAGTTGAAGGAGACATTGATGCAGCCCAGTCAATTAAAGGGAGAGAGTCTATAGTCAAATTGATGCTGAGACGCTTTTACTTTATAAAATTAGTACGAGAAATGATTAAAGAGGCAGAGAGAAGACAAATAATGCCTATTGCTACTAAAACTCTTCCTTCATTTTTATCTTCTTAAACTTTAACTATAATAATATATAATTGCATTCTAGTAATTGTGTTTGTTGTACTTCGTTCGTTTTAGTAATCCTTTTAATATATATGTATGTATTACCAATTCATCACATCACACTCATTCTCTACTACACTTGACATTTACACACACACATTCAATCGTTTAACACCATGGCATCAAATCTCTCTCTCGTTAACTCCTATACCTTCAAGAATAATGGAAACTTACTGTTAAGTAATTATTTGTTTTTGAAGCAGAGCAATTTTTTATTTTTGATGATGTTTCTATTGTAAAGTAATGCTCAGTATTTATTTATTATTTCTATTGGTAGTTGTTATACAATATGCAGCATTATGATGATTTCCTCTGGTTTATTATTCTTATTTTTGTTATTATAAATCATTCATTGTTGCATTGTATATTATGTTGTAGTGTTTATGAGCATTAATAGTTTGTGTATTTGTTTCTGCTCCACCTTCTAATGAAATGAGATTTTTTACATGCCTTAGCTTTTATACATTAACTGATTGTGTTTATATGCATTGATATTACTTGACAATAATTTGTATTGTATGTAATTGTGCTTTTTATTAATTACTATTATCATTATTTTGTCCAATTTTAATTATTGCTCTAATAATGTTAGTTTCATTATTATTGGCATTTGCTGCTATACATGTATACTTGCTATGCTGTTATTTTTTCAAATTGATATCAAAATAGTTTTTTTTAATAATATTACGTACTTCATTTCAAGAACATTGATCCAGTCAACTGGGTCATTCTCTTTAAAAAATAGGTTCTAGAAATTAGCTAGAAATTTTAAAGTTGTAGCTAATTTTTTGAAAAAATCAAGTGAAATTAAACTATACAAACAACCATCATAGTCCCCTGAAATGACAAAGGATTAAGTAAACTACACTAATAATATGAAGTCCCACAAAGATAGTATAATTATTATAAACATGCACCATACAGAACTAACTCACATACCAACACACACACTTTATGTTCAGTACATGTACATGAAGATATACACTGCATGTGTGTTATTCAATAATTAACATCAGAATAAACAATAGTAATAATACAAGTAACAATAAGATCAATAACCAATATAAAGTGAAAAGAATTATAAAAGAGAAAGACGATATTCATGGAAGTATATAGGAGCATTTATCACAAGTAGTGACTAATGGATTATTGGACCATTGACAACTGGGACAACTCCAATCTGAGGGGGAGAGAGAGAGGGTAATATACCATGTCCCAACTGAGTATGGACCAAGAAAAACTGGAATAACTTTGTAAAGGAATGTGGGATAAAAATGAGACTTGCACTTGCACAGGTTCTTAGTCGCCTAATGCCGCTTCAGAATCTCAGGTCTTGAGTCTCTCAACCCTTGGGAACCCTGAGAACCGGGTTCTCCCTATAAACCCAATGGCATACCAAAGCTAACCACATTGACGTTCTATGATGTCATAGTTTACATAACCACATGTGGTCGAGTGCCCAAACTGATCATTCTTCTTTTAAAAAGCTAATAGAAAGAGATCTTCTGATAATGATGGCCTTTATGAAGACTAGCTGACTCCAGAAGCTATTGTACTGCTTATCAGGAAGAACAAGACTATTTTAAGAGTGAAACAACACAGCCAAAATATCGGCCATGTCTCTATGAATATCATTATAAGATGTCATTAGTGACGTAGCTACATTTTTCAAATTCCAATGCAGCTGCTTCCACTTCCGGTCCATTCTCAGTTGGGACATAGTATACATGTACATCATCATTATTATCATAATTTACTGCTGGTGCTTTTTCTCAGTGATGGTTGCTTCCTTTGTCTTTCCTGTTGTATATCATATCTTAAACTGCTCTGTATACATTCAGCCATATATAAATCATCATCACTCTATGAAGGAATTAAGAAAAAAATTACTTATTACTAGACGAATGTAAAACATTAAAGGGGTGAGCTTAAGCAAGCAATAAATTTTAACAAACTAACTATACTCAGTCTCATGCATAAATTGATTGAACTTTAGCAGCTCAGAACTTGAAGTGTAGCATAGTTTTTCATCTACCTTTGTAATCAATGCATGAAGTTTTGCAATTAAAGATAGCTACTGTAGAAGCAGTCACTGCACAAATGATAAGGTTAGATAGGCAACTGTAGCAATGTAGTCCAAGTTAGTTCAGGCTGTGACTGACATTCACTTAATCAGAGTCATTCACATGAATGTTTTAACAAGATGGCATACCTGCTCATCTGGACAGTAGTACAGTAAGTCCAGTAAATCAATAATGTCAACAAAAACAAGTTTCATAGTTACTTTATTGCATCTATAACCTGATATAGCTGTTGGAGAAGCCTTTGAACAGAGTTTCTGTCTCATTTTGCTGCTAGAAAACTTATGACTTCTTTCCGTATATAGGTCGCCATTTTATTTTATTGTGGCCATTCCCACTTGTAATGAAATATTGAAAACTGAATTTATAATGCATAGCATCTACCATATTATGCATAAATAGGGATGACGTACGTGTACAGACACACAAACAGACAGACATACTTGTCTCGTTTATGTGGGGCTTGCTCAGGCTCGCCCCAATAACTACATGTACATTCTAAAATCCTAATACATGTACATGTACATGCATCCTGTGCTGTGCAAAAAGATTGAGCCAATTCCAAGCGCAAATATTTGAGCTACAAGCATTTATAAATTTGAATCTAATGTACAATGCTGTCTTAAAATGTACATGTACATGTACATGTATCATCCATGCAGTACAAGATATAGTGTCATACTAAATTATTCCTTAAGCCTTTAATGCCAATTATACGTAACTGTAATAGAGAATCCTTATTATCCTGTTTCACAAATACACTACGTGTATGTACATGTTCATTTGCAATCTGTGATTAATAAAACTAGTTTGTACACAAATGATTACTGCATGAATGCTGGTAAAACTTCAAAGAGACTTGTCTTGATCTTAGAGTCATTGATACAGACAGTACAGGCACTTCTTCTGTATGTGTGTGTGTAGGGTGAGTTTAGTAGTAACACACGTAAGTAATTAATTATAATAACTATTCTAATTAATTATTTACGTACACATGTTACTACTATCAATACTACACATTAATAAACCATCCATTAAAAACTACTCAATCACAAATCATAAGGTGACACAGACAGAGAAATTACTGTATAGTGGGAAATTTTGGAGGGACTAAAATTTGGCGAATTGCTGAAATTTGGTGATTAGCAAATTTTAACTTGGCAAATTTGTGGCCATGTGCCATTGAGCATGCATTTAATGGCTTAAAATTGCAGATATTTATTTTGGTGAATGGCAATCAAAACGCCGAATTCACCAAATTTAATCCCCTCCAAAATTTCCCACTATACAGTATAATGTTCGTATCTTGAAAATTATTTGTCCGAATCAACTCAAACTTTCTACACAGCATTAAGGACATCAATGTATCAGAAAATAATAAAAAATGGGGGTGATTTTGGAGCAATTTTTTGGAAAAAAAACCATGGGCTGTCACCTTTGTCTTTTCACAATTGGCCAATTTCTTTAAAATGGCCATAACTCAAATACATATCGGAAAATGTAAAAAAATTGGCGGTGATTATAAGCCATTTTTTTGGAGAAAAACATTGGCCATAGCCTTTGCTATTCCCAAAAATTGGATAATTTCATGCCATAACTCAAAAATATTTTGTCAGAATCACCTCAAACAATCTACATAAATGTAGCACAAGGACATCAATATGTATGTGTATGAGAAAATGCAATAAAATTGGAGGTCATTTCAGAGATATTTTTTGTAAAAACCATATGCTATAGCCTTTGCTTGTTTAAAAATTGACATTTTTTAAAAATGGCCACAACTTAAATTTTTTGTTGGAATGGCCTCAAACTTTCTACTTAGCATAAGACAATCAATTTGTATCAGAAAATGTAATAAAACTGGGAGTGATTTTGGAGCCGTTTTTCAGAAAAAACTATAGGCTATAGCCTCTGCTTTTTTCAATATTGTCCAATTTCTTAAAATGGTTGTAATTCAAAAATTTATAGTTGGAATCACTTCAAACTTTCACACACATGTACATGTAGCATAAGGACACCAATAAGTATCAGAAATGTAATAAAAAGTGGGGCATTTTGGAGCTCGTTTCTTAAGATACTCATAACTAGAAAATTATTTGTTGGAATTGGCTAAAACTTGTAGTGCTTTCCTTACCACACTGCTTTGACTTGAGTATCTTTTCATTTGTTCTAAACTTTGTAACTTTTCTCTCACTTCACTCTGAGACTTTGCATATCTTTTTAATAATACATCATGTTCCTATTAATAACAATAACAATAATATTTGCAAGTAATTACATTATCCTCTTACAGCTTTAATATTTTGTAACTGTTCTCGTTGAAGTTTTAAAATATTTTCTTCAGCTGCAGCTGTACATTGAAAGAATAATATTTATAATTCATTTAATAAAATACATGTCATATGTACTTGATTGTCTAACATGATGAGATGTGTGAGACACACCCACTTGATAAGAGGCTCCACCCATAACCACACCTGCTTCCTTAGGAGTATAAGGGACACTGACTGGCATCGTATCAGGTACTTGAACAGAATTGTTATAACGATGTTCATAGTGTGGTTGATTAGGGGGTGGGGCTTGAGACTCGTGAATATCTGTTGAGGAGAGATAAAGAAGAAAATACATGTACAACTAGTATTTTTGTATGGGGCAAAATTTTGACAAATTAATTGCTAATTTTTGGCAATTTGCAGGTTTTCCATGTACTGTACACGTAATCTGGTAAATTGCCCATGTATCATTGAGCATGCACATTTACTGTAGGCTGGGTTTTGATTGCGAGGTTTTTTTGATTGCGAATTGCGAATCTGGAATACATCTCGCAATAAAAAGAATCGTAATTAATAATAATTGATAAACGCTACGCCTATAATAATTAATAAGTGCCACACCTGTCAATCATTTTCTCTACATGTGTTTCATTTACAGCATCATGAGTGGTATCCTGTGCTATTTTCAGCCCAAATTACCTCATCTAGTCAAGTCCCAATGCCACCTAACATCTTGAAGGAAGTTAATTAAGCTGTGGCAGTAGTAGCTTTAGATGGCAAAGGAGAGAAACAAGACAATCAGTTAACTTGTGAGTGTGGCTAGCTAGGCTAGCATCTCGCAATTGTTGGAAACGCAAACTAGTTATTTTTTCAAATTCGCAATTTATTAGATACGCAATCAAAACCCGGCCTACGGTATTGCACAAAATTAATGGTTTATAATGGAGGATTTAATTTCGGTGAACAACTGTCAAAATACCAAATTAGCTAAAATCCCCCATGATCCAAATCTGCATAGTTGTTATCAATCGAGCAGTGGTTTCAATTTGCGGGTTAAAATGACAGCAAAATATTCAGCAAATCATCATTGTCATCATCTTGTACAGTAATAGCATTAATAGTACATGTACATGTGCATACGTACTTGGAGTAGACGAGAGTTGTGGGTGTGGTCTAGACATGAAGATATTCTGTGAATTATGGACACTCCTTTCAGGAGGTATTGATTCAGGACTGTGTATGGAGGAGCCTGCAGTCCAGTAATTCTCACGTAGTAAAGTAATACAATGATTGATGTCACCTTTACTCTGTAAAAGAGAAGAATGAGAGAGAGGGTACCGTATAGGGGTTATATTTCACTGGTAATAAATTTCGCAAATTTCGCGTTTTCATTAAATTCGCAAAATTAAATTCCACAGAAAAAGGTGTAGCACATTAGTAAAAATGGCCGCAGAAGGTAAGATTCGCGAAAATTTATACCAACAAATGGCAAATCTGAACAAATTCGCGAAATTTTATACCAACAAAATAAAACCCCTATACGGTAATTCATCAATTTTGAGCCAGCTTATTAGTACACGAATGTTATTTTAAGTGTAATACATGTACAAGTACATCAGATGCATTTCATGGTGGCCATTTTGACAGAATAAAATTGCAAGGGAAAGCCAGCAGTTTCTGTCCGAATAAAACACAAATACTGCTTGAAATATCTTATAATTTTACAATAAAAAGGTAAAATTGAAAACCAGTTAATTTTTAAATTAAAATGTATATACATGTACTGTAAACCATTCATAATTGTGCACCATAAAATTTTTAACTTTTGCCTAATTCTGTTAAAGTGGCAATAATATGCAGCTAACATATTACTTGGTTACCTCAGTTGTAAAAACAATGAATGTTAATCTACTTACCACTGCAAAACATAATAAAGCTCTTGCACAGATGTAATCAACAGGGAGGCAGCTATAACTGTCCGCCATGTTGAGTGGTAAGAATGTACATGGTAGAATGGGAAAAATGGAAAAAAATCTGAATAAATTCTGCAGCTGACATTCCAGGCTAATGCAAGGTAGGAGATAAAGGTATTGTTCTACAGCCAAGTATGATATCTCATCAATAGAAAATCCAAATTTTTTCTATATCTCCATCTGTTCTGTGTACATTCTTGCCACCCAACATGGTGGCCAGTCATAGCCACATCCCCCATTGATAACATCCATGCAAGGCTCTACATAGACCTCTTGAGCTGTGAATAACTAAGTGTATGAATATCATTATTTTGAGATACGGTATCCACCTACACGTAACAATTGGCCGCCATTTTGGATGGCAAGATTCAATGAAGAAGGAATGGAATAAACTATAAAATGATTTGTTTGACTGGTCTGGAACTGTTTCAAGCTACAAAAGTTGGTTGGAAGAATGCGTGCTACCAAGCATCTCATAAAACAGATTTGGTGCAATGTGAAGCAAATTCTTTACTATAGCTTGCTTTCTGCTTTTGCTCATTGGTTCACCATAGAAAGATGCCGTCCATGGAATTTATTTCCTTCTCTACCACACCCACTGCCATATTTACTCTTGTGACATAATTCCTTCTTAGCTCAAGAGGTCTATAACTTGTTAACTTAATAATCCCAAGCCTAACTGTAGAGTACTTAGATCAGTTGTATGCTTGTATCCTAACATACAACAGATACAACTGTATGGACTACACACTAGTAGCAGCAGACTACATCACCAGGGTTCTATCTAGAAATTTTTGTTTGGGGAGGAAGCCCAGAGCAGTTGACCGGGGGGAAGGTTGTGTACATACATGTGTATGTACATGTACAGTACATGCATGCAGTTACAGAAGTACACAGGGCGAAGCTTGAAGTTTTGGGGGGGGGGAAGATGAAGAGTTTGGGGGAGAAGCTTCCCCCCACCCCCCACTGGATAGAACCCTGATCACAGTAGTGATACAGTGTGACATACACATGTACGTGACTGATCAACACCTGGCAATCCTAGTCTCGCCAGCCAGACCAATCCCGTCTGGCTGGCGAGACTATGGCAATCCTAAGTCCTAATCCTATTACTGGTATTACCTTCTTTAAGAAGTACGTTAGTATATTGTCAGGTACACCGTCGCCCGCTCTTTGTCTGAGATGAGCTAACTTGTCATAAAAGGCTGGATCATCCATAATATACTAGATCAGAAACATGACTGAGAACTCGGGACTATACTAGACGGCAGCCATTTTGATGACGTCATTAACATTCACACCCCAGAACCCCCATCACGGGGTCTCAGCAAATTTTGAGCAATTTAAAAATTCATTAAAAATCCTGAAGGTCTTAGACAAGCTTGCACACAATGCACAGGTAAATCACAGGCTCTGAAAGAAATACTCGCGCATCAGCTTTGACTTAAATTCCAAGTTGGCCTGGATAATCTTCACAAACTTGAAGTACCTTCCTCCAGATCACTCCTTTATTGCAGCAGTCCATCCATGCATCTCTGGAACACTAGTATTACTGAGAGGCTGACGACATTTGACTATGTAACAGGTCATCCACTCTTACATCAAGTGCAGTACCAGAACTTTTGAATAACCTAAGAACATCACTAATTTGAAGCTTCCCATCTATAACGGTTTGTGTGTGTGTTTTTGCATGTGCATAGGCATAGTACTTCCACATCTTACTTCCTAATAAGGAGTATCATTGCTACACATTATAATGAACCAATTAAAAACTACAAAATCATAAATCAAAAGTATATATGCACACTCACACACAGAGACAATGAGACAATTAATGGACATCAATACTAGAAATTGTAAAAATTAGGGCTGATTTCAGAGCTATTTAAAGGAAAGAAACATGGTTGTAGTCCTTGCTATTTTTTAAATTGGAAATTGTTTTTTTAATGCTTATATTTTGAAAATTATTATTGGAAAAAGCTCCTTTTATTTGTACCAATGTAGTAAAATTGCACAAACTAATAAAAGGTTCACAGTGTGTGTGGTCCAATATTGTACCTGTGGATTAAAATATTACATGTACCACTGGATCTTCTAACAATCTTTAATATGTCAATCTTAACAGAGAGCAATTTGATAGAAACAAATTCATTAA